AAAAAAAAAAAAAAAAAAAAGAAAGAAAGAAAGAAAGAAACAGAAACAGAAAGAACATTCGTATCGTAATCGTTTCGTATTCTTGTAATTGAAGGAAGGAAAATGCCGTTTCTTCTTTGTAACATGTTAATCGTTAACGTCGCATTTTAAAGCGTCTTTTGATGTCGTGCAATTGCAAAAGCGTGAGTAAGTGGGGGGAGGGAGGGAGAGAAGGGGGAAGGGGAAAGGGGATCTCGTATATAGAAACGCCATAATTTATCGCGAAACAGCGGCACGTGGCGCGGAATTAGCGATATTACGCGTAATCATGGTTTTCTTGAGAAATCCATTGTTGCATATATTTTAATGAAATAATTGCGTGTTCGTGCGTTTGTACGACTCGCGTGGAAAATAAGCTCGCAAACAAGTGTTCGCATGCGGCGCACGGAGTGAGTAGCTCGCGTGCCGTAAGCCACGTCGTAAATTTACATCGTACCGTTGATCGTCGGTACAGATTCGAACCTCGACCTAATTAGCCTTTTTTACGCTCACGATAATTAACGTAATGCGCGCGTAACGAATCGGGAGCTTAGAAAAATGTGATTTTTAACGTGGCCATTACCCGTTGTTTTCGCGTTTTCATACGCGCGAAGCGATGAAGCGTAAGCGGGGAAGGGATGGGAAGGAATGATCGATCGATGGCCGATCGATGTTAACGATTTTAAAAATCGGTAGAACTCCATTTGCTAAATTGCCACACAATTACGAAGGTCTATCTGATGCGGTGGTCTCGATGGGTTAAGATAGATAACCCACTTTGTTTTAGTTAGAAGGAAAATTATATTTTTTATCGCAATCGCGGCCCGATCGATGCGACAGCAATAAAATGTTGGTAAATGAGACCTTAGTTTACTTAACGATATTAGATATTAGATAATAATGCAATATTGCTCGCCGAGTTTATTGGCGGCACGGCGCGCGGCTATTTTGCGGCGAGTAAATAGAAACTAGCAAGCCACGAACGCTTCTGAATGTCACAGACATTTTAAAAATGGTAATTACCTCTTAAGTATATTAAAATTACGTTAAACGAGTCGGGAAAAATAGCGACGCTTACTCGTATCCGATTAATCGAATTCTAATTACTTAATGAAAACGATATTCGACGCGATCTTTCACGCGATTATTGAAAAAAAATAAAAAATAGAAATAAAAATAAAAATAAAAATATAAATAACACGAACGCGAGAAATACGAATAGCCTTACCTTCATCCTTCCCGTGTCCCAATATCTGGTCGATGCTATACACGTTCCTCTTTTGATTATACGTTTGTGCCATATTTAGCGAAGGTGAGATCACTTGTGTGCAACTTCGTCGAAAGATAATCGGTAAACGGTGTTTTATTCACGAGAATTCACTGAAAAGAGAGGTACTCTCCCGTCTAGGATATCCCGGAGAAAATCGTATTTCCCGCTGTCCCTTCCGCGGACAGATGGAGCTTCGTGGAAGAACGTCCTTTTGGCGCGAGCAAAAGAAAATAAACGTACACGTATGTACACGTATGTAGAATATCGAAATAATTTGATTACACGCGTGAGGAAAAACTGAATGAACGGAAGCGCGAATCGAAGGATAATGAGACGGAGAAAGGGAAAAAAGAGAAGGAGAACGACGGAGCGTCGATGTTCCACGCGTGACTCTCTCACTTCGAAAAGAAAATGCGTCAATCGACGGCGCACCACGAACTGGCTCGTCGGACATGAAAGCAGCCCTTAATATCGCATACAGCCGCCCCACCTCGCAACCCCTAACACCGCCATATTAGCCTCCCCGCCAATGAGGGCGCACGCTTCTCACCCAAAGCCACCCCGTACTCGGGGGTTGAATGAGACCTGGGCGGGGAATATTTTGCCCTTTCCGCGTAAATCCCCGGATTTTTTTCCACCTCCTCTCCTACCCCCTCCTACTTCTCAGAGTTCTTCCTTCTTCTATCCGATCCTCTTTCTCTCTATCCCCATCTTCGTTCCTTCTGCCCTCGTCCCGTATTTCCGTCCCTTTGTCTCTCTTTCCTACCCTATCTTTCTCGCTCCCACCAATTCGTATTCGATCCATCGACGCGATGTTTCTTCTTCTTCTCTCGTCGAAATGTGAGATTATTTACCGCGTCTTCAGATGTACGCCAATTCTTCTGGATCGCGATTAATTTCCTCCCTCTTCTTCTTCTTCTTCTTTCTTTCTCTTCTTCTTTCTCTTCTTCTTTTCTTCTTCTTCTTCTTCTTCTTCTTTTTCTTCTTCTTCTCATAATTTTATCTGACCAAAAAACATACCGTTCGAGATTTTTCTTTTTTCCTTTCTCTCTCTCTCTCTCTTTTTCTCTTTTTCTTCCTCCTTCTTTCTAAAAAAAAGAAAAATTCGCACGATATATCATTATACTATTATTCCATTGTAATTATTCATATTAGTCATTCGATTTTTCGAAATTGAAATTTTTATCATAAATCTTTATCACATGGCAACTCGCTTATGTTTTAAAACGTACACCTGGTTGCCTATGACTAATTAAACGAACCTAACGGAAGCCTTAGGTAAATCCTGGCAAATACTGAAATCCTGCGGCACGGAATATATTTGTGAGAAACGAGGTCGTCGATCGGTCCATTCAAAAACTTTTCGAAAATTTACTTACGATTATCCTTACTTATTCTAAGACAACGCCTTTCTCAACGCGAGGCCTGGTTTTGAAATCAGTAGTCTAATCTCTAAGATGCGGTTAAGGACAAAGACGAAATTGTGGTCCCAAAATCTTAAACGCTCCTGTGTCATTCTGCAACATTTCATTCCTTCTTCTCCTTCGGAAATAATCTGACCCTCATTGTTAATCCAAAGCATCTTTGTCAAAAATTTCAAACCGTTCCTTCGAAAATCGCTGCTACGTGTCATTTCGGCCATTGCGACGACCTATTGTTTCCCGATTAAACGTAAATTACATGGAATAATATTTTTTACAATTCACAATGTGAATATTTTTTTTTTAAATAATTAGATATCCACGCGTTTTTAATAATTCTTAAAAAAACAAAAAATTCGAAATCAATTTGACCATTTTAATAATAATTCTATATTCGATAATAATTATTTGATTTCAAGGAATTTTAATAATTTTGTACATTGTTCGAAAACGTAACGTTAGATCGCGTTAGAAGGTAACGCGATAAAGATGGCGGTCGTAAATCGTTATCGGCCAATAAACGAGTTTAAACATCGATTATTCGGATATCTTTCACGCCCAAGAGCGAAATAGTTCGTTCCTCTTAATTTAATGTTTGTCTCCGGCGCGTTTGCGTGTAATTTTACAAAATACGCCAACGTGAACGACGCAACCGTTTAAACGAATTTAACAGGCTTGTACGTTTAACAAAGTCGCGCAATTAAACGGTTAAATTTCATACGTATAATCGGGAAAAATTTGATCGTTACAAGCCTGTTCGTCGATCGAATATTAAATTTCCGGGATTTATTTAACCAAACGGAGTATCTTCCGTCAATCACGTAAAGGTGTGGGTGTACAGTGTGTCGTGTCCCATCCCTCCCCTTTTGTATAGTGGACTTTATAATGCAAATAAACCGTGGCAGAGGGGACAGGAAAAGGGGGTTGGGCCTGGGTCACTGGCTCCGCGTTTCGTCACGCTACAAACCAGATTTTTGGGAATATCGCGGTACCGTATCGCCGGGGAAAAAAAAAAATATCTCTTACACGAATGATTTTGGAAACAGAACGCTTTGTCGACGAGAAACGACGTCATGGTTTTACATACATACGAAAGCAGATTATTCGGTGCAGGGAGGGAGGGGATGGACGATGCATATGAACGCTATATTAAAAAAAAAAAAAAAAAAAAAAAAAAAAAATTGATCTTGCGCGCGTAAAATGTATCGCGCGGGTTAAAAATCGATCAGAGAACGATGATTTTTTTATGAAACGATATTTTGCGAAATGATTATTATACTCGATGTAATAGACAGACGAATAGATATCGTATATATTTTAATCGAGAGAAGTATTTGTTCAAAGTTGAGGAGGAAGGATATAATAGAACGACAATGTGTCAAAGTGTCCTCGCTCGTATCCAAGAAACGATGTGAAAGGATGATCCTCCACAAGTAGATACTTGAACGGTTAATTCCATACAGATGTTTAACTCTTCTTACCGTAATCGTTGATGATTCCAGATGTGTAGAAAGAAATTAGGAAGATAATTGGAGATTCCGATTTCGAACATAATTCGATAATCTTAACATTTAGCAAGATTATCGAGTTAATCATTTTCTGATTTAATAAATTATTAATTATTTCGCAAATTATTTTACGAATTATTCGCTTGTTAACCTACTAACTTTGTGCCAAGATTAGTTTTTAATGTATATTTATTAAAGCGATACTATTGTACATTTATATAATGACAATTTGCAAATAAATTTACAAATAACGAGATATTTTGCAAATTATTCGCAATAACAAATTTGTTAACGGAACAAATAAAATTTTCTGAGTAAATATTAGAAACTGCAAATCATTTAATTATTTCCATATTGACGTTAAATTATAAAATTTAAAAACATGTATGACATGTTGAATTGTCAATTTATTGATATTATTAGTTAATAAATTATCGTACAAAAGGGTCCGGGTAAAAACTATAGGTAAAAACAAGCAGAATTTTTCTCCGAATTCATTTCGACCGACACCGCTTTTGTTTTTTATTTGTTTGCGATGCTCATATATGGAATTGTAAAAAATTAAATAGAGAGGGCCACGATATCGAATGAGATATCGAAAAAGTGATGAGCGAACAATTTTTCAATAAATTTTCAACAAGCAGATCCACGATCGGTAACATAATAACCGATGAATGGCCCGATGAAATGACGTTATGCGAACACTGTCATCTAATTAACAAGAGATTGACAATCAGATAAATTTCCACGAAACTAATTATCCTTTATCCTTGAATCTATTTTCAACCTAGAACATCTTTGAAAACTCTCCTCCTATCTAACATATAGATAATCTTTGCCTTTAATGAATAAATCGCATTCACTTGTACATATATCTAACAAGCAGAAATTATTCACAACTTACATCGTTTCTTTAGATTACATTACAGACATACCTTAAAGAATGAAGAAGCTTCGACATATTCCGAGCTTGAAGTAGAAACGAATTAAAATTTCTTTCCTCGCAAAATCACAGGAATCCGGCCATGCCGATTAACCGATTTCGTATCATCGATATACGAACAAAAATCGATGAAGAAAAACGAAACGAAACCGTGAAACGGACAGTTTCCACCAATTCTCTCGTTCTCTCGTCGATAGTTTTCGTTTCTCGCGAAACGATCGAATAAAAAAAAAAAAAAAGAAGAAGAAAGCGGAGCGGAGAGGAGAAGGTGTTCCTTTGATACGATCGAGATGGAGGGGATTGGAGAGGATAGGAGCTGATAACTCGTGGGTGTAATTGTTATATCACGGATCGAAAGGGAGGAGGGGAGAGGTTGGATGAATAAAGAAGGAGCGAGGAGGAGGAGGAGGAGGAGGAGGAGGAGGGAAAGGGACAGGAAAGGAAGGCATGCGAGGCGAGATTCTACAATAGGCAACATTAAATCTGCA